ACATGAAGTCTGAGGATTAACCATCTTAAATGCTATTAAAGAGACTCTGTTCTTGCAGCCTTGGCATGAAATGCAGTTTTACATTTGTGAACTCTAGCTGAAACCTCGCAGACTAGTGAACACACAAGACATTTATTCATTACAGAAATAACCAGTTACTTTGGCAGAAAAACGATAATGTTTTTTGCTGCTTGTTTTGGCTTTGTTTATTAGGATTCTGAACAAATAGTACAATACTTTAATATATATAGTGAATACTGTCATATGTAAACGAAAGAGACAACCTACAATTTATATTAAAAGAAACATGTTAAAACGGAATAGCGGGCTGTTGCATACGCGTTTGGTAAAATGTAAATAAAGATACAAAAAACGAGAGAAATGTATTGTCATGATGAGTTATGTTTCTCAAAGCAAGTTAGAATTTTTAAATAATGAGAACCTTTCATAACTTTGTGGAGTGCTATAGCCACAATGCAACTTAAAGGTCCCATGTCATGGCCATTTCTACTGATCATAATTCCATTGTTGAGGTATACTAGAATAGATTTATATTGTGCAATTTTACAAACTCACATTGGTCTCTCATACAGCATCTCTGTATAGTATGTGTATTCACTCTCTGTCCTAAACGGCTTGTTGGAGCTCCTGCCCCCCCCCTCCCTGTGAGCCCACTGTGCTCTGATTGGTCAGCTCGGTGATTATGTGTTACAATGGCGTTTGTTAGCAACCAGAAAATGACACCAGTAATGACAAACAGATGAGAATGCTGCGTGGGGTCTGGGTGCCGTGTTGGCGGGACGTTGCGGGGCTCGCTGCTGCGAGGAGCGGACAGTGTGAGCTGGGTTCATTTCCAGCTTGCTGCGTGGGGTCTGCGAGACAGCGAGACATCGCGAATGGACGCGGGAAGGGGGGGGGGGGGGTGCTGAGGGGGCTGCAGCACCCCCATCTGCGAGGCTCCACTAGCACCCACACCCCCAAACGCGGCGCACCTACAGTGTAAGCGTTCCACAGTTTCGCTGCTGCGAGGCTCCACTAGTTTCGCCACTGAGAGAATGTGTGTGTGAGGAGCTCCACGGATTGGTCGTCACCATACCAATGGGTCCATTTGGGTATGGTTACGTCACTGTACCCAGGAAGAAAAAGAGAAGTCTCCAACGAGGCGTTCTGGGGCAGCATAGACAGGTCTTTTCTGTGTTAGAGTTTTACTCACTACAGGGTGTACTTTGAGGGTTTGTGACTTTGCAGACGGTTTACATGCAGAAAAACTTTCATAACACACAAGGGGACGGGTAATTATCAGAAAAGCATGACATGGGACCTTTAAGTAGCTTTAGGACAAGTTTAGTAGCATTATTTTGACACCTACAATTACTAGCTACTTTGCTTATTTAAGTCAGCTTAAACTATTTACGATCAGCTAATTAAATATAAAGCATTGTGCTCACACAACATATTTTTTGTTAGCTTAATCTCTCAGTAACTACATGTTTTTTGGTTATATTTATACATCAGTAACACTTAAATCATTACAACAGGGGGTACTTGTTATACTTTCATTATTATTTTACTGATAACACATTAATAGGAATCTGAATGCAGGGTTATTGCTTTTGATAATTATCCTTTTACAATCCAATAATGAATATTTATTTCTTACTCTGAACTGTTCTGCCTGACAAGATACCAGAGTTAATTTGACACTTCTCTGCAGGTCTTATTAAAAAAACAACATCATTATAGAATGGATTTTTTTGCAGGACTATTGCATTATTCTGCATTTTCCCTGTAGAAGTTTCCACCCCAGAGTGCCCTATATATAACTTTAAATTGATTATAAAAATAATTAGACATTCCCCTGTGCAGTTAGCGTTAACTATTATTAGATGACAATTTGCTCCTGACAATAGAAGAAACCTTTAAATCAAACAATCAAATTAGAATCAGAAACAGGTTTATTACCAGGTTTATACAAAATATAGTCAAATATAACAGTATTTACATTGCAGTGGAATGGATTAAAAAGGAATAAAATATGGAATAAAAATCGGTAGTAATAAAAAAAACAAAGGAAAAAAAAACAGATATTGCTGTACATTGTGTGCATTCATGTAAAGCATAGACCAAATGACCATTCAGGGGCATATTAATTCAACTTTCTGAACAAATGAACACAAGAACTGGGTAATGATGGCCTGCCGAAGGAACATTCTTGATTGTGACTCATTGAAAGTCACAGACACGTCTGACTGCACAGTGTCCTTACCTGGAAACACCAGCAGAGAGCAGCAATAGCACGCTCTGCTGCACAATATTGGGGAAGCGTCTTGGCAGCAAATCAGCCTCTGCTGCAGCCAGCTGGTTCCAACTGGAGGCAGAAACCACGAGCTGTTCATCCAGCAGGTGGCAGTGTACTTCTACAGGAGAGGAGGGACAGAGGCTGGGTGGGAGATGAATGACAATGAGGTGAGAGCAGCAGGGTCAAGTAGGTCATCGTGTCTCAGTCTGCTAAATGAAAACAGTTTGAGGTGCGTCCTTCTGGCCGTGCATATGGATTAGAAATGAGTCCAGCAGCAAATCTGGAGGTCAGTTTCTTATAATTAGGGAAATGTGAGTGTGCTGCTACAAGTTAGTGAAAAAATGTAAGAATTCCAAATTAATTTTCTTGATTGTCATGCATACTGATGCTTTTCCTATTACGATCACAATTGCAGCTTGTTACGTGCCGTGATTATTCCTCTGTTGACAGAATAAACATTCATACTGACGAAACGAGACGGAATTATAATGATTTTAATATCAGAGCTGAGCTGTTGTCGTGCAATTGTGATGAGTTACTGAGTCCTTAAGGAGCCTTTTATTAGGATTGGATTAAGAATGAGTCAGGGATTACAATGTTTTTGTTATTTTTTCTTTAAAAAGGGATCTAAGACACACGTGTATGCATCCCTGCACATCTCTGCAGTCCCCTTGAGCAACTGCACCATCAACATACACCATAACCTTTTACGTAACTACAATGGATTCACTTTCTATATCTCACTTTTCCCGCACATACATTTTTTTTTTGAAGTCAGGAAATGAAATGATAGATTTCAAGGGATTCCAGTAGTTGGAAAATCCCACTTAACTTTGAGTTTGCACTGTCCAAAACGTGGATTAACATTTGATCCCGTGGTAATTGCGTGGGTTATGCAACTCCCTCCAACCGTGCAGATGACTTGCTTTTCATATATTTATTTATCTGTATTATTTTATCATGTTATAATACCTTGTTGAACTTAGTGACACGTTAATGCATCTCCAGATATAATTGAGGGACTGTTCAGTTGTCATGTTTGACCATGAAACTTGAGATAAAGGGATCAATGAAAGTGTGATGGACAAAAGATGTTCTCTCTCATTGTCTCAGGAAGGATGAACTCCTCTTGAATAGAAGAACTGATATGAAAAAGCGTGCAGTGGTTCAAGCTGAGTGTGAGAACATAAACTGACCTTCAGCTCACTGTGGAGTAGATCACTTGATCTGCTCTGGGCAGCGTGCATGGGTCTGGCAGCGGGCTAGTTACATGGGAACAGAGGAACAAACAAGAGGAAGGTAGCCAAAGAGAGAGGAACTGGCAGGCAGATGAAGAGAAGTGAAACAGATAAACACTAGACAGATGCAGAGCTGCTTTTCTGATGATCACTTTCAAATCAGAAGCCTATCAAAGGCCCCAACCATCTGTCTCATACGTGCTGTAGTGTAAACCACTGTTTTACACATACATGTTTCCAAACAAGTAAATAAATACCATTATATTGTGATCTGTGATCATGTTAACAGGTTGACCTACTGTATGGGACCTAATTGAATGAGTGAGGGAATCCCTTTTATGAAGTGATAAAAGAGGTATTCAGATGCGTTAAATATATAAAGTACCCTGTAAATAGATTGAGATAATAATAATTACATTGTTTGATACATTTCAAGCTGCTGTTTGTAACCTTTTATATCAAAGATGGCGACAGCTGAAGCCTCAGGGCATACTTCAATTTAAAATGAGGCTTAAATAAAAAACTAGCAACAACAAACATGTATCTTTTGTTTAAAAAATGTAATAAAAACAAATAGATTTTTGATAGAAGACTAAATAAAGTCGGGTATGAAAATGAAAATGCATCAAAACATTTACTTGGCAAGGTACTAAAGGACAAACCGCAACTTCTCTTACTGTTATTTTACGGAAGATGCCTCAGTGCTTGTTAATCTAATCTAAATGGGTTCAGGGTTATCAAAAAGACACACATTGCCTGTGATTACCAGCGTATACATTGGACAACAAATCAAAATGAATGAAGAAAATAATGAACAAAGTTACAAAAAAACTGATAAGACAATAAATGGGCGGTTAAATCTGATATAACACAAAAGCAGAGTGCAGTTACTGGGATTTAGTGCATTTTGGGGGTAAGTCAGTAAATGATTTTGAAGTAAGTCAAATCATGGATCACAGATGTTGTGCTCAACATTACTTCATGAATAGTACAGCACTTTGGCCCGACCAAAAATCGCTTTTAAATGTGCTTTATGAATAAACCTTGATTTGATTTGATTTGAATAGTGCACCACCACTTTAGTACCTATAAGACATCTGCCAGTGTGTGCTTTTGTCCGATGGTTTGCCATTTTAGGGCAGTATAGCTGTCAAATCAATCATAATAAAATGTAATGAAGTAGAAATACAATAAGTAAGTATACCATGAATAGAAATATTCAAGTACAAGAACCTAAAGATTGCACTTACTACAAGTTCATTATTTAACTACATGTCCAACGTTTTGTTCTGATATCATTATGGTATGTTGTAGTCACTGGATACGGTTTTAGTTGCTGCTGTTGAACAGGATGTGGGTCGCTGCTAAGAGTCATTATTTCCTCATGTTTAAATCATTTGTAGGGCCATTAACGCTAATACACAAAGGGTGCATGGAAACATTGATTGCGGAGTACACGGTTATACAAAAGATTGAATTAGTTTATTGTGTTAGTAAAAAAATTAACTCATCAGTAGCACCAGAGCACATTGGCAATTACAAAATTAAACAATAGCTGTTCTTTGGTTGGGCAGCAGCATATTCCTATGTTCGTCACCAGGTATTCTGTGTAGAGTATAACATGTATTGACAAATGACCACTGCAAGTTTCCAAAGTCCAACGTTTTTCTTTCAAAGTTGTAATTTTGTGCAAGTTGGAAAAAAAAAGTAGTTCATGTACATTGATATGAAAGGAAATGCTCACAATAGCTGCTACTTCATTGTGATTTAAACGCGTTATCTTATACCAAATGAGTCACTTACATTACTGTTCATCATTAATTGTGCACAGAAATATAATGCTTATCAATTATCAAAATCACAAATTAACAACACCTGATATTAGATGTTATGTTTCTCAGAGACATAATAAAGAACATTTCTGTGAAGAGCCTTTTTAATGAATCATCATTGTATGTACGACACACGACAAACCTCATGAATAGAAAGGCAGCCCTTGTTATTCTGATGATGTGGAGAAACATTTATTAATGGCTTGTCACATTTCCTTCCCTTCTGACAATATTGACATCACACAGTAAACGTGTTAGCCGCAGTGCAGTCACTCCAATACATGCGATCTTCCCTCCTGACAGTGAGTGTTCAGTCAGCTACGAATAAATATCTTATTTCACTTGTAGAGGAGCTAACAAAATGAAAAGAGGCACACTGGGACACGAGTAACATTTTTGCTGCTACTTTTAATCTCATGGGAGTCGGATCGGTGGAAGCTTGTGTGTCAAATAGGGAGTCTGTCAAATCGGAGCCTCGGGCTGCCTCTCTGTAAACAACAACATCAAAGCATCCCCTCTCCGATTCTTTCCCAGCAGTTTATCGTCCCCACCAAATGTCTGTCCTTTTATCTCCGTCTGTCTCCCTCTCCGCCTGGTTGTCGCTCACTTTCCCAGCAGCTTCTCTCTCCTTCCTGACTCTGTTAGGCTTTTGGCAGCTCTGTTGTTGACGTCAGTCGTGCTGCAGCTGTTTGAGAGCTGCTTTTCCTCCGTACCTCCAACATGTTATTATGGCTGTCAACCAACCTCATCGCCCCAAACTCTCACGTTACAACACATGGTGTCTTTGCAGTTTCTCCACCACACCCTCTCAGTGGTGTCGTATGGAGGAATGAGAATGGATGGAGTAGAGTAGGAGAACATGGTCTGCCTGTGTAGAGTAGAGCAAACAGACCGACAGATGGACAGTCCCAGCGACGCACCGCAGAGATAAGAGGATTGGGCCTGCTTGCTGTTGTTGTTGTTGTTGGCCTTGCTGCAACTCTTAATGCAGTTAGCTCACTCTACAGTCTGCTGAATGCTGTACATGAGGGGATGATGGGGAAGAAATGTGAGCATGATGTGGTTGGAGAAGAGAAATAAAGCTTGTCCTCAGCTCAACTAAATGGACGAAGTTGAATAACATCTCAAGTGCCTGTCCGCCGTGATCAGGCTGCAGTCAGCAGGTACTTCTGTTCAGGCTTCTTCTTCTTCTTCTTCTCCGGCATCGCTGTGAAAACTGGCATTTTGTCTTGGTGTGAAGGCACCTTGCAGGCCTTGTAGATGATCCCGAAGAGGATGAGGATGAGGACGCCCACCACAGAGTTGCAAGCGATGGCTATAATGGCCCACACAGAGAGGCCCGTCCTCGGATCGGGCTCCATGGCTGACGGGACTGTAGTCTCCAGACTCATGATCACATCTCAGGTGGATCAGAGGGCGGCAACCGGGGCCACTTTGGGCATTTTACCTCCACACAATGCACCTGAAAAGAAAGGAAATGGATCACATGAGTTTATTGAACCACCACGTGCACACAAGCCTAATCCTTACACACACACACACACACACACACACACACACACACACACACACACACACTCACTCACTCACTCACTCACTCACTCACTCACTCACTCACTCACTCACTCACTCACTCACTCACTCACTCACTCACTCACTCACTCACTCACTCACTCACACACACACTCACACACTTTGGCATACATGGCCACAGTCTGTCACATGCGCCATGCTGAGTCTACTATGAGGTCAGCTCTGTGAAGATGACTTAGTGGCTTTACACCTGCAGTCGTACATACGGGACAGATATATCCAGTGTCTACAAATGGGTCTTATTCTCAAGATTACTTCAAGGGGCAATGAGAGCATTACAACGTTTTTTTAATAAAGCTACACAAGGGACCGTTATCACATCATCTCTTGTAATGTGCACGGAAAAATGTCAGAGAGGTTCAGAGAAAACATCATTCTCGTGACTTTGTTATGTATTATAATCTGCGGATGATAGAAAAGTATTAAAGGACAAAAAAGTGCCTCTGGGCTGCGGCCGGCGCTGTGTGGTTGAGACATTATTTTCCCGTCTTGTTTCCTATACACAGGCAGAGAGCAATGAAGTTATTACACTGATAAAGAAGGTGCCAGTACGCACTTTTTCTCGCTGAATTATTTTGAATGAGTTTCTGCAGTAATTTGTTTTCGGGAGGAACGTGTGGGAATGTAGTTGCCAGTTTCTTTGGCAGATATTAAATGGGTCACTGAGGTGTACTCGTGTGTGTGTGTGAGAGAGAGAGATTGACAGCGAGGGAGAGAAGCATCAGTGTGAATATTTTCCCTCTTAGAGTCTAATAGATAAAAACTAGAGCTCATCTCCTTGCTTCTAAACCCCTCTCACTTCTCTCTTAAAGCATTTCTATAATGAGACCATATTTCCTCCTCTCTCCTACTGAGGGCAACACTGCAACAGTCCAAGCTTGCTATTGAGAACTAATTCCTTATTTATCCTTCCCTTTATAGCTATTTTATGAGTCAGCCAAACAAAGATGGATAGCTTCAAGTCAGAGTTGGTGGCAGTGATGCATTTGAGCGCATAAAGTCGCTTTCTGTTTGTATCAGATGGGTCCCTCTCGAGATGCTGGTGGCATCGCTGCGGGGGAATGAACCCTCATAATCACCAACTGGGATTACTGTCAATAAAAGTGCCCTCACTGCACTGCAGAATATTTCCAAAACATCCAAACTTCTTCTGCAGAAGTCAGGTGACACTACATGTAAAGTGACAAGTTTAACATGTCAGTTAAAGGGAAAGCAAGGAGTGTGTACTCTCGGGCAGGGGTGTCAAACTCAAGGCCCGGGGGCCAAATCCGGCCCGCGACTTCATTTGATGTGGCCCGCAAGAGCTTGCAAAGAATATAATGCGTTTATTATACGGTTACATATACTTTACAGTATATCTATATATGTTCATTTTAATTAATTTCTTATTTTTATAGTTATTTATCTTTCTTTTTTTTATCTTTGATTTATCCTTAATTGTATTAATCTGTGTGAATCTGTGCTGTCCTGTTTTTCAATCTCACCCTGTTGCTGTTAAACTACTGCATTTCCCCACGGGGATTAATAAAGGTCCATCTTATCTTATCTTATCTTACAGAAGCAGGTTGCCCATAAACTATATGTCCCACAATGCATCTCATTTTGTGGCATGCGCACTGAAGAGACTTTCAATTATTTGCCCTAGACTTCTGCTTTCAGACGTAGTTAATTATGAAGATATTACCCTATCCGATAATAATCCAATGCAGAGGCAATAATGTCATATAATACATTATTTCATATATATTATGTATTTATATATGTATTTTTATATAGTTACAACCGGCCCTTTGAGTGCAACCATAATGCTAATGTGGCCCACGATGAAATTGAGTTTGACACCCCTGCTCTAGGGTATAAGAGGACAGATAGATGAAAAGGGAATAATCTGTGTGTTTTTAGATAGAAATGAGTGTGGCTATTGGAACAGAGGGTTTGCATGCTTAGATTGATTTCATACAATCAGAGTTGTGTATAGCAATAAACAACAACAAATAACACCAAAAGTATGTTGCACCAATTGTCCATTATCCCCAATTATAGCACATTTTCATAACCCATGCTGCCCAAAGTAGATGAGTGTGCCGCATAATTTGTCCTCATTTGCATGATAAATACATTTCCTCTGAATGCAAGATAGCTCTGTTTCACCCGATGGCCACAGTGGAGGAAAGCAAATGTGTTAGGGTCCTACTATTACTCAAAAAGAGGATAGCTTTCCTTTCCATAGATTACTTGGAAATCTTTAGTGAATGTTGGTGTGCATAAGATGTCAAACACACGGCACAGCATTCATACAATAAAGTGTCAGCATGTCAGTTAACTGTTTGTTTTGGTAGATTTAAAGGTCCAAAGATCATCAGCACATGAGCGACCCACCACACAAACATGCATAAACACACACATGCACACATTTCCTCAGGCCACAATCAATACACAGATAACTACAGTCTCCCTGTTGCATTGTGGGTCTGAGCTGTGTGGCTGTAGCAGGAAGCGGTTAAGCTTGAGTTGATACTGGTGTCATGCAGAAGCAAAATGCTTCATGAATGCGAGCTTGTGCTTGGATGCGTGTGTGTATGAATGATGCCATTGACAGACATAAGAGGCCTTTTGTGTGCAGATGCAAACAATCTAATGTAAACGCATGCAAATACAGGCAACATGCAACAAACACTGTGTGCCATATACAACTACACTCACAAACATGTGCCTCCTGCTGCCAGTGACCACATGGAAAACAGGCAAATGTTTGTGCATTATGCATCACCTTGCAGTGGACTATCAGATTGAGTGAACTCCATCTCGATGTGATTGAACAGTCTCCCCTTTCTCCCAACTCTGTGTCAACACCAGCTGCATGGCAACAACTTCCCCATGAGGCAGGGAAGTGTCAGTGTTGACACTGGCTATGAAATACATCTACTTCTGCTAAATAGCAGGGCATACTCAGGCATTTAATAATTGATCTTCTTATAAAGGTAAACAGTAGTGGCTTATTACTTGCGGATATTATACAAAATTATTATATAGACAATTGCATATGTTCAAATACTTTCAAGCACTTTAAATGGTCTTTATTGCTTTTTATGTGCTATATGTGACATGTATGTAGTAACGTGTGTTGTTTGCATTTGATTGTACTCTTTTATCCTTTCGCCTCTATCTACTAGTCTTTTGTCCTTTTTTTATAACTAATGCTGTTGATGTATTGTATTTTAAGGATGTCTATTATCATTTGGCCGGGGACAACAGTTGGAAATTAGCAAGGTTGGCTAAAGCTGCCCCATTTACTATTTTTTGTGACAGTTGATCAATGGGGACTGTCCACGACACTATAAACAAATAAACTAAACTAAACTAATTGGGGATATAGGCTGCTGTTTCCAGTACACAAACATCCAATAACTCCAACATACTGTATATTTTTGTAATACTTATGTGTGGACATAATGAAAGAAGAGCTAAACAAAAGTAGTTGTTGTTTGCTGTTTGTACTTGCAGTGCCACTTCAGGCTAAGCACAAAAAACATTTGATACATCAGCCTACCTAATTCTCCAGGTGTTCGGTATCCATGCGTCTGTACTTCAGTGTCCTCTCCTTTTATGCGCGCTTTGGCAGCAAAACGCGTTCATATACAATCTTACAGCGATCCTCACCCAATTGTTTGTGTGGCGGGAACTTTTTCTGCGAAGTAGGTCACCAAACTCTGCCCGAGCGTTTGACAATATGGCTGGACAGCAGGAACAGGGCGGTCAGCACCCATGAAGTCTGGAGAGGCGCAGCGCGACCGAGCGGAGATGTATCTGTCAGAGTGGCTGCTCATCATCCCAAACCCCTCCCCCTCACCTCCCTCCCTCCCACCGTCTCCTCTGAGTCCCTTACTACTGAGCTATTAATACAAAAAAGCTTGGACATCCCATCAAGGGCTTTTCCTATCACACACCTCTGAGAACATCCCACCGTCCCTACACTTTTGTACAGGATAATTGCAGCAAACAATCAAAAGTAAAGTAAAACATGATGCAAAAAAAATCCTTATTAAACTTAGATACTACAGCTCTGTCTATTGGGAAGCACTAAAAGTCCTTCTGGAGATAAGCAACACTACACAATTTCACCAAGTCTGAGAATAAAAGCTTTCTCGAAGGTTCGTTTTGCTTTCTTACAACGTTACGTTAATGTTAACTTAACCTTACGTTTGCTAGGAGGCTAATGTTACTTCCCTTAACAAGAGCTAGCTGTCTTAGCTAACAACAGTTAGCAGCTAACGTTTTCTGCAGTTTGTTTTTCCCCTGAAAAAGGTGATGTAGTTATTTAAGGGTAAGTTAATTTAACGTTATCTTACAAGTTGAGAGAGTTACGTTTTGTTTAAAATTGTCAATGTAATGCCATTAGAGGTTTTGTGTTGAACATGAAGTTAGCTAACTGTAGCTCACCAAAGGTTAGCATGTTAAGCTGTACTTTCTGTGGCAGCTCGCTTAATACAAAGAGGATGCTTCATTGTAAACTTTTCTTACAAATGTGTGTTAATCTACCTGAAATTGTAGGGACAGTTTTTTTCTACTCAATGATACAGACCATTGTTGAGGAGATGAACAACATAGCCTACTGTAAATGAGTTGGGTTCGACATGTACTTTGAGTAATGTTGCTTTGCTGCTAAAAAATGAAACATCAGATGAGGACATCACCAAAGTGTGTGAGTCTGTCAGGGGATTTGATCTGTTCTCTGCATGTCGTACAGGGCCTATGTACACACTGCTCTGGTATTAATTTAAAATATAATTGTAAAATGTAAGTCTCCCGCTCTTGTCATCAGTCAGGCTTTGCATTTGAACTCCTATGACTGGTTGCGGACTTGAAGGGAATGACTTCCTGGCCTTCCTGACATCCAGGAAAAAGGTGAGATTCTAATCCATTTCAATGCCAAAAGCAAGTTATTGTTTTTAACTTTTTTTAATATGATTTTTTGGGGAATTTCAGTTGTATTGGATAGTAGAGATCTACTGGAACCTAACACCAGAGAGAGAGAGGGAGGAGATGATATGCAGCAAAAGGCCGAGCCGGATGGTTGCTGCTCCGTGTGGAACGTGTTCTATCAGGTAAAGCACTTTGGTACCCAGTTATTTATGGTATTGAGTTTGAATTGAGCCTTTGGAATGTAATTTCCAACAGTGCATTGTAAAGACTGAAAAAACAGGCTCAAGTTAAAGCTTGACATGATTTGGTCTTTTACTTAAAGGTGGGGTAGGTAATTTTGGAGAAACCAGCTCGAGTGAGCTAGAATTTGAAAATACACAGCCGGAAGAAATCTGCTTCTTCCTTACAGTGCCCCTCCTCCAACACACACAAACGCGCACATGACCAATGAGGGCACGAGATAAGTTTGTGCACAGATGGAAGGCTGACAGGCAGGTAGGCCAGTTATTTTAGCCGGGCCGGCTAAAATGATTGGTCGTGCTTTTTACAGTACTACGGCTTCCACAGATGACATTTTTTTATGGATTTTTTGTCAAAGCCCTTAAGATATTCATTGCTATCGGGATGTTAAGAGCATTCCATGGAATATAACAAAAAGTGTATCTCGAGCCGGTTTCTCAAACTTACCTACCCCACCTTTAAGAAAATGTTTGTCCTCCTGTGTTGTCTTATTTCCTTATCTTTCTTTCAGGTGTAACATATACCAATGGTTGTACATGACAGAGACCTTCTCCACCTCTTCGCTGTCCTACTAGTCAATCCTTCTGATTCTGATCCTTTCCTAAATAGTGGTAAGTTGTTTTACAGTTCAGTGTACAACGTTAATTTAGCAACTTAATGCTTTACTGCTGTTGTATATATATAATATATTGCTAGTGATTTTATTAAAACTATGATTTGCAATCTTTTTGATTCCAATTACAATAATCTTTTTGTTATAATTGTAAAACACATCTTAACATCCATCAGCAATCAATAAAACAAATCATCCAACACAAAATAAAAGAAATCTAGACCTATTTCTATTGGGACTGCTCATTGTAGTAGTCGACCTCTCAGAATGTTTATCATTTCTTTGTCTCTTAACATTCCTATAATAATTTGTTTTTTTATTGTTGGTATTGTTTTGTTCTTTATTTTTGTTGTGAGAATCACTTTGCAATTGTGTAAGTGCTATATAAATAGTTGTACTAATATTATTGTTGTTACCATCATTACTATTATTAATTTATTATAAATGTTTTCTTTGTTTTCTTTATTTATCGCTGCAGAAAGGATCATGCCAGCCCACATCAAACATCTGATCAAGAAGTTGTGAATCTTCAGGCAGAAAAGATGAAAACACCTGTTCAAAGTTCCAGTTCCCTGTACATGGAACCATGCCTGTACTCTGTTCCACATGTCTTCAGTCAGTTCTGGACCCGATGACTCGGACACTAGTTCTACCAAGGCTCATTAGAGGTAAGCAGTGGTAGGAGAGGAGTGGAGTTATCTTTGTATTTAGGCTGCAAGTCGACAAAGGTGATCAAGTGCTGATGCTAATAATGATCCGATTCATTTGATATTGATTGTCTGCCAATACCGAATCCTGATCCGATTCTTCTATTTCCCAGATAAGACAGCTGCACCGTGTACACTAGCTCTATTTGTTCTTGCCATTGTAATTCACCATAAGCAATTGTTGACTGTAACGTCTATGCCAACCAACTGTAATTTGTAATGTATTTTACCATACTTTAACAGTTCTGGCAACCACAGCAGCCCAAATGTTAACGTAAATGTCAAGTTTTCTTTTTACAGTGTACTTATATCTGTACATTTATTTTCAGTTTGCTTCAAGAAGTGGCTTCAACACACAGAAATGCACAATGAATCTTTGTAATATATTTATGTTCTCTAGTTTAAATAATCATACCAGTATTTAAACAATGTACTGTATGCTGGTCACCTGGAATCCTGGTAAGCTTCCAGCATGGTATATTTAATACTATTATTAAACATAAACTGGTGATAGATGGATGCTGGTGAGCAGCCCAGCATACCAGCATATTATGCTGGTATGCTGTTTGTTTTAGCTGGCCAGGATGGCTGGTTTAGCATGGTGCACCAGCTAAACCAGCCATCCTGGCCAGCTAAAGTGTCCAACACCCCTCTAAACCAGCCAGGCTGGTCAACTTAGTTGGTCAGGCTGGTTGGTCAGGCTGGTCAACCAGCCTGACCAGCTAAGTTGGTCTAAGCTGTTTTTTTCAGCAGGGCAGGATGCTTTAGATACTTATAATAGGTTAATATGACTTCAAAAGACAAGGCTAGTTGTGCAATGATTGTGCAGAATGATTCATTTCAAGCATAATTTTGTCATTATTTTTGTCTAACCCACAGGCAGAGCTGTTGTGCATTACAAACACATTCCCCCCTCCCCCGCATAGTAAACTTGAGAAAAGTTGCATGGATCTGAATAGCAGCTGCACAAACTTAAAAACAAACGTGTTGCCTCCTCTTGTCCTCATTGGTATTCAGCACAAAAGCGGGGTGTCCCTGGGGGGTTCTGCAAGGCTCTCTGTCTCCCTGTCTTTGTGTGTGTGTGTGTGTGTGTGTGTGTGTGTGTGTGTGTGTGTGTGTGTGTGTGTGTGTGTGTGTGTGTGTGTGTGTGTGTGTGTGGTGTGTGTGTGTGTGTGGTGTGTCTGTGTGTGTGTGTGTGTGTGTGTGTGTGTGTGTGTGTTTGTGTGTGTGTGTGTGTGTGTGTGTGTGTTGTGTGTGTGTTGTTGTGTGTGTGTGTGTGTGTTGTGTGTGTGTGTGTGTGTGTGTGTGTGTGTGTGTGTGATGTTGTGTGTGTGTGTGTGTGTGGTTGGGAGTGGGGCACCATGACCCACAAAGTTCAAGCAGGGACAAAGCATTCTTTTGAGGCTCCATTTTCACCCATGGCTTTAGAAAAAAAGTTTTCCAGGGGGACGGAGAGAGCAGCGGCTCATGTCAAAGTGTTTGGCTGGTTGGCTATTAGCAATACTTCAAGAAGTACTGTGTTTTAATTAAATATGAAATATAGTGATGATGTGGTAGCTAAACTCAATTAAATGCATACACAATTGGAGAAATTGGCTCACATCGTGTGAAATATTCATTTATAACAGTCATTATAAAGACTTCAGCAGTCATATTAGTTATAAGACTATCAGTTCATCCTCATTTTAACACCATGATTGGATGATTTCAGAAAAAACTTAATGAATGTTTAACCTTGTTATTTTATTGCATTTTGATGAATTACTCCACTCACATATTCATGCAGTGTTGCATCAGCATTACTGGAACAAAACAAAGTGCTAGTAAAAAATGTACGGGTTTATTTTTAAGTATCCACTTGAAATGTAGACAGGCAATATCCTTGCATACCTTCATTTTTCATCCAAATCAGACTGAATTAGTCAGGGAGCAGCACTTCTTGAAAGGCTGCATGGGAGAGTTATCACTGATCACAGACTGATACTCCAGAGAAAGCTTCTTCAGAAGAGTGATTCATCATATCAGAGAAATGCACTCAGATAAAGCTCGAGAGAAACACAGACAAACACTAACTCTCTGTCTCTCCCTCTGCCTGCTCTTACACACTCACACATGCATGCAGGCGGGTGCACACACACACACACACATTAATTATTACTTCCTCTTGCAGGATGTGTCATGTCTGAACACTGCCTCTCATGTCAATGAAGATGCTCGCACACCTCCATTACACTGTCAAAAGTTATCAGTGTGTGTGTCTGCGTGAGAATCTTTCAAATGAGAAAAAGAGTGAGATAAAAAAAACTAAAGAAAGAAACAAGAGG